AGCACTTGTTACCCCACTGTGATCATCCCCTACCCCTTGATCCCCAATATCCCTTGTTACCCCACAGTCCCACTGCCTGACAGCCCTCACAATGAACCCTCCACAGGCTGACAGCCCTCACAATGAACCCCCCACCCCCACAGCCCTTGTTACCCCACTGTGATCACCCCCAGCCCCACTCTCCCAACTGCTCCCGTCCTTGCTGTCCCCGAAGCCCTGCGGGATCCCAGCCTGAGGGGGGCTGCCCCAGAGGCCTCTCTCCCCCTATACCCCCCTCCTCCTCCTCCTCCTCCCCCCGTGGGGGGACACTAACCCTCCAGCTAGTCTAGGCTCATTAGACATCCTAGCTTGTCTAGCAACAGCTAGATCTCCATGGTAACATGGCTGCGCCCATCATCCCGTTTCCCATCCGGTATGTTCTAGCCTAGGCCCTTCACCAGCTCTATGCTCTGATTGGGTTCCCCGCCTTCCTCTGGCGTCAACTCCTTTCCGCTCTAGCTCCAGTCCCGGCACATCTCTATGGTTTGGAACCGGCCCCTCTCGTCTCCTGCCTAGTTCCTCCCGCTCTCTTGCGGGTAACTCTGTGGTAGCTGAGTCCGCCACATACCGGAAGTGGTTCTCTTCCCCCCCCCCCCAATCTGACTCTATGGTACCTTGGAGGAGAGAGGGGCCCATCATGCCGGAAGCGCCTGTTCCCCGCGTGTTTCCGGCTGGCGGCAGGGCGGGGGAAAGTCACGTTACACCCAGGAGAAAGGGGCCGGCCTGGGCCTGACCGCGGGGCTCAGTGATCGCCCGAGGAGCGCGGAGGGTGAGGGGTCTCTGCACAGAGCCCGGGGGGGGGGTCAGCTCTGAGGCGTGGGACGTGCCCTCCCCCCAGTGCATTGGCTGGGGTCGGTTGGCCCGGCGGTGGCGTCCCCCTGGGAGTGTGTCGGGGGGCCCGCACTGGGTGGGGGGCTGCCCTGGGGGAGTGGGGGGGGACTGCACTGGGGAATGGGGGGGGGCTGCACTGGGGAGTGGAGTTGCCGCCCTGGGGGCGTGGGGGGGGGACTGCCCTGGGAAGTGGTGTTGCCACCCTGGGGGTGTGGGGTACTGCACTGGGGAAGGGGGGGGGGGGGGCCACCCGGGGGGGGTGGGGTACTGCACTGGGGGGTGGGAGTGGCAGCTCTGACAGGCTCTGTGCGTTTCCAGGAGCAAGTCGCTGCCTCCCGCCCCAAACGCCGGGGACTCGGCGCTCGCTCGCGGCGCGATGGATCCGCTCAGGGCCCAGCAGCTGGCAGCGGAGCTGGAGGTGGAGATGATGGCCGACATGTACAACAGGTAACGACCCCATTACGGCTGCTCCTTGTCAAGGGCAGGGTCGCAGCTCCCCAGAGTGCGGCTTGCTGGGGTGTCATAGGTTTGAAAGCCAGCAGGGACCATTGTCTTCCTCTAAACTGGAAGGAGTCTGATGGCACCTCAAAGACTAACAGATTTATTTGGGCGTAAGCTTTCGTGGGTAAAAAACCTCACTTCTTCTGATGCAAATTGGAGACAGTCCAAGGAAGAGCCACAAGAATAATTAAAGGATTAGAAAATATGTCTCCTAGTGAGAGACTCCAGGAGCTCCATCTCTTTAGCATAACCAAAAGAAGGTTAAGTGATGATTTGATCAGTTGGTAAGTACCTACGTGGGAAACAGATATTTAATAATGGGATGTTCAGTCTAGCAGAGAAAGGTCTAATATGATCCAGTGGCTGGAAGTTGAAGCTAGATAAATTTAGACTGGAAATAAGGCGTCAGATTCTAACGGTGAGAGTAATTAACCTTTGGAACAACTTACCAAGGGTCATAGTGTATTCTCCATCAGTGGTGAGTTTTAAATCAAGATGGGATGTGGGTCACAATGAAGGGTAACTGGTGGGCTGTGGGTGTGCTGGAGTTGAGGACTGGAACATTAAAGGGCCATGGGTTGGGATTGAGAGGAATTGGCAGAGCCCAGAACTGCAA